ATTTGAATTTTTTAAAAAAGTATTTATTTATTTTTGACTGCCCTGGGCCTTAGTTGCAGCATGCGGGGTCTTCCTTGTGGCACCCGGGTAGCTTGTGGGCTCTGGAGTGCATGGGCTCTGTAGTTGGCAGCACACAGCCTCTCTAGTTGAGGCAGGGGGTTTAGGAGTTGTGGCATGCAGTCTTAATTGCCCTGTGGCATGAGGGATCATAGTTCCTCACTCAGACGTGGAACCTGTGACCCCTGCACCCGAAGCTGGAGTCCTAACAACTGGACCACCAGGAGAGTCCTGAGATTTAAACATTAAATATTCTTGCATCAGTGGGCCCAGCCTTACTTGGTCATGATCTTTTTCACATATTGCTAGATTTTATCTGCTAATGACTCATTCTGTATTTTTACATCCTTGCCTCATGAAGGATAATGGACTATAGTTTTATCTTTTAATATCTTTGTCTAGTTTTCTGTTAAAGTTATGTTGGCTTTATACTAGAAGTTGAGGAGAGTTCTCTCTCCCTCTATTTTCATTTAATTTTGCTTTTTAAAAGTATTTACTACTTTTTTAATGTTTGGTAGAAATTACTGGTGAAACTATTTGGCACTGGAGTTTTATCTGTGGGAAAATTTTTGAATAAAAATTCAATTTCTTTAATAATTTCAATTTTTATCAGTTTCAGTAAATAGTGGGTTTCCTTATGGCTCAGCTGGTAAAGAATCCACTTGCAATGCAGGAGACCTGCATTCGATCCCTGGGTTGGAAAGATCCCCTGGAGAAGGGAAAGGCTACCCACTCCAGTATTCTGGCCTGGAGAATTCCAGGGACTGTATTGTCCATGGGGTCTCAAAGAGTTGGACATGACTGAGGGACTTTCACTTTCAATCTTAAGACTTTGACCATTTCATCTGCCTACTTATTATCCTTTAAGGTCTGTAGGCTCTGTAGTGTCATCTCTTGTTTCAATTTTGACTCAGGTAATATATATTTTCTGTCTTATTTCTTGACTATTCTTGCTAGGATTTATAAGTATATTTATTTGTTAAAGAATTAATTCTTTACATTTATTGTTTTTCAATTTTCTATTTCATTGATTATTCCTTTTTTAAATATTTTACATTTAATTTGTTGTTCTTCTTTAGCTTATTAAGGTGGAAGCTTAGATATTGATTTTTCATTTTTCTTCTTTTCTAAAATATGCTTTTAAAACTAAAGTTTCCCTCTTAGTAGAGCTTTAAATGCATCATGAATTTTTGATTCTTTTTTTAAAAAATTGATCAGTTGAAATGCTTTAAGATTGTCCTCTGATTTTCTTTTTAACTCATGAATTACTTAGAAGTACATTGGTTAATTTCCAAGTATTTTGGGATTTTTTTACTCTAAAAAAATATTTATTTTATTAAAAAATGTAAAACTAATTAATTTATTATTTGTGGCTGTGCTGGGCCTTTGTTGCCGTCTGTGCTTGGGCTTTCTGTCGTTGCTGTGGGTGGGACTACTCCCCAGTTGTGGTGCTAAGGCTTCTCACTGCGGTGACTTCTGTTGCAGAATATGGTCTCTAGGGCATGCGAGCTTCAGTAGTTGCACCTGTGGGCTCAGAAGTTGTCACCCACTGGCTTAGTTACCCCTCGGCTTGTGGAATATTCCCATCTCAGGGATCAAACCTGTGTCCCCTGCATTGTCAGTCAGATTCTTAACCACTAGGCCACCAGGGAAGTCCTTCTTTTTCTAATTTAATGTCATTTAGGTCAAAGAACATAATTTGTGTGGTTTCATTTCTTTGGAATTTGAAGCTTGTTTTTCTCACCAGCATATGGTCTGTTTGGTGACTTTCATTTGTACAACAAAAGAATGTATATTCTGCTGTTGTTAGGTGGAGCATTCTATGAATGTCCACTAGGTGAAGTTGGTTGATAATGTTTTTTAAACCTTTTGCACTCTTAACAGGTGGTGCTAGTGGTAAAGAACCCACCTGCCAATACAGGAGACATAAGTGATATGGATTCAATCCCTGGGTTGGGAAGATCCCTTGGAGGAGGGCATGGTAACACACTCCAGTATCTTGCCTGGAGAATCCCATGAACAGAGGAGCCTGGCAGGCTATAGTTCATGGGGTTGCAAAGAGTTGGACACTGAAGAGACTTAGCATGCATGCATGTACTCTTACTAATTTTTTTTTGTCTAATTCAGTAATTACTGAGAAATGAATGTTGAAATCCCACATTTTGATATGAATTTATCATTTTATTTTATTTATTTATTTTTAAATTTAATTTTATTATTTTTTTCATTTATTTTTATTAGTTGGAGTCTAATTACTTTACAATATTGTAGTGGTTTTTGCCATACATTGACATGAATCAGCCATGGATTTACATGTGTTCCCCATCCCGATCCCCCTCTCACCTCCCTCCTCATCCCATCCCTCTGGGTCATCCCAGTGCACCAGCCCTGAGCACTTGTCTCATGCATCCAACCTGGGCTGGTGATCTGTTTCACACTTGATAGTATACTTGTTTCAATGTTATTCTCTCAGAACATCCCACCCTTGCCTTCTCCCACAGAATCCAAAAGTCTGTTCTGTACATCTGTGTCTCTTTTTCTGTTTTGCATATAGGGTGAATTTGTCATTTAAAAAAAATTTCCCCCATTTTTCTTCATGAATTCTGAAGCTTTGTTATTAGATATCTACATATTTAAAATTTTATGTCTTTCTTATCCATTACCCATTTTTTACCATGAAATTTCTATCTAAAATTTTTACTGTTGTTCCTTCGTATGTCATTTGTTTTTTCCCTCTGGTCAGTTTTAAGAATTTACTCTTAAACTTTCAACTAATTATGCTGTACCTAGGTGTGACTTACTTTGTTTTTGTTTGGGGTTTGTTTGATCTGATTGGTGGCAGGGTTTGTCAATTGGAAAATTCTTGGCCATTGTATTTAAAAATATTTCTTTATTCACTTTCTCCTTTCCATATGAGAAGCTAATTACCTGTGTGCTATTAATAAATGAAGACCACTTGATGCTGTCCCACAGAGTTCAGAAGCTCTGTTGCTTGCCTGACTCACTCATCTTCCCATACCTTTGAGTTTAATTTGGTTAATTTCTCTTGATTTATCTTCAAGCTTACTGATCTTTTCTTTTGCTATATGCACTCACTGCATTAGTTCTTTTTAATATATATTTGCATTGGCATCTCATTTGCATCTTTTTTCAATAGTTTGTATCCCTCTTTTGAAATTTCATGTTTTTGTATACTATTGTCCATCTTACTCATTAGATCCTTTAACATGTTTATCATAGTCATTTTATAAATCCTGTTTGGTGCTTCTGATATTGAGATCATCTCTTGTTGTTGTTCAGTTGCTCAGTTGTGCCCAACTCTTTAGGACTCCATGACTGCAGCAGGCCAGGCTTCCCTGTTCTTCACTATCTCCCGGAGCTTGCTCAAACTCATGCCCATTGAGTTGATGATGCTATCCAACCATCTCATCCTCTGTCATCCCCTTCTTCTCCTGCTTTCAATCTTTCCCAGCATCAGGGTCTTTATCTATGAGTCAGCTCTTCACATTAGGTGGTCAAAGTGCTGGAGCTTCAGCCTCAGCATCAGTCCCTCCAGTGAACATTCAGAACTGATTTCCTTTAGGATTGATTGGTTTGATTTTTTGCAATCCTAGGTACTCTCAAGAGTCTTCTCCAACACCACAGTTCAAAAGCATCAATTCTTCAGTGCTCAGCCTTCTTTATCTCTGAATCTGCTTATATTGAGTGTTTTTCTCCTGATCAGAGTAAAATTTTCTTGTTTCTTCTCATATCTTGGAGGACACTTGGGAGATTTCTTTCAGCTTGTCAGTATAGTTTCCACGTTTTGTGTTTGAGTTCCATTTCATCTCTCGTGTCTCGCCACTGTAGTGAAGGCCCAGTGTGCCTTGGAAGGGCTTTTCTCAGTTTTGCTGCTTCTCCCCTAACCTTCAGCAAGACAAGGATTTGTATTTGAGCAGTTCCCTCGGTACCTGAAGAAGGAGAGGGAGGGAAAAAATCTCTCTAGATTGTTTTATCCCGCTCTCAATTTTCTTTGTATTATTTGTCTATTCCATGTACCTAGATAAGGCTCCTGGGGAAAATTGCTGACTGAGGGCATCCTTGCTCTGTGGCTGGGGCCTCTCAGAATTCTAGTCTTCACACCAACTTTGGTTTCTTCTATACTGTGGCAAATTCTTCCTCCTCCTGGAATGAAAGGAGCCCTGGATCTTTTCTGTTCTATTAATAACTTTTGGAATTCAGCTCATTTAGGTTTCTATAAACCCTGTCTTTTCTGCTGGGTTTTAAAAGCCTATAGTTTATCTGGCATGTTCTCATTTTTGGGAGTGACAGTCTTTGGCAACGTTACATACTTTAACCAGGAATGAAGTCCCGGGACTAACTTAGAAAACTTGTTAAAGTCACATAGCTGAGTGTTGATGAGTTAATTAAAATAGATCTTAACGTTTATAATTATTACAGCCATTAAAAATGAAATCCCATCATTCAGTTTTATCATATAAACTTTTTTTTTTTTTTTTTTTACCAGATACCCTTTGGGTGTTTCTTAAATGAAAATCCACATTTAAAAGAAGGACATGTGTTGCCCCTGAGATAATAGAAAGAACATGATATGGCTCTACAGGCTGTGTTAAAAGAAGGGATTCTAGTAAATATTTTGAGAAAAGCTTAAAGTTTTAGGGAAGTTTTTGCTTTCCCAAGATGATTATGAATTAAAAAACTTATGTTCTTCCTCAGCTCCGATTCATTGACTTGTATTAACATATTTGAAATGTGGCTATTTGGACACATATGTTAATTCCAAGATTAGTAAAAATTAACTTGGCTTTAACTGGGTATTATATTTTCCAAATTCAAACTTATAATTGTTAGTTATTTATCTTTATTTTTCTAATATATTTAACTTTCTTTTTTCCCCTCTTTATTTCTTTTTAGGAGTCCTAAAGCAGAACAAAAACAGAAACATGGCTCACCATATTACATTTCTTTGGATAATTTTGGTCCTGCTCCTTCAGAATTCTGTATTAGCTGAAGATGGGGAAATAAGATCAAGTAAGAATTATCAGCATTGTCTTTTTTTGTTATCAACACATTGATTGGGGAAATGAAATAAAAGGAGCCCAAGTATTGGTTTTAAGGATCTCATTCTTACTGTCTTTGATGCTGTGATTGCCTGAAATAAATGAATTGCTATGTTACACGTTAACTGGGAGGAAAAGCTATCAGAAGTCATTTTAAGAAAATTCTATGGTAATAGCTTATTTTATTAACCCACACTTGTTCGGTCATTTATATAAGCATCATGATATGGAGATAAAGTACCTACTCACAGGATTGATTACCAGGACCATCCTGTGAACTTATCTCATAGAGATAGCAAGATAATCTATGTAACTAACACAGGTATATAAATGACTCAGCCTAGTGACAGCTGGGTGTGTTGACTGCTTGTAGGAAAGCTTGCGTAGGAGAAGGAAAGCTGGGTTTTGTTTGTTGACTGCACCTCGGGGCATGCAGGATCTTAGTTCCCTGACAGGAGACTGAACCTGCTCCCCTGCAGTGGGAGGTGGAGTCGTAACCACGGCCCCACTAGGGAAGTTCCAAAGGCTGCTAATTGTAGTTCTGCAATCCAGGGCAGCTTTTACAGACATCCTAGCATGCACACTGAGGAAACCAAAATTGAAAGAGACACACGTACCCCAACGTTCATCGCAGCACTGTTTACAGTAACTAGGACATGGAAGCAACCGAGATGTCCGTCAGCAGATGAATGGATAAGAAAGCTGTGGTACATATGCGCAATGGAATATTATTCAGTTATAAAAAGAACCCATTTGAGTCAGTTCTAATGAAGTGGATGAAACTGGAGCCTATTACACAGAGTAAAGTAAGTTAGAAATAAAAACACCAATACAGTATATTAACGCATATATGGAATTTAGAAAGACAGTAACAATGATCCTATATGCCAGGCAGCAAAAGAGACACAGATGTAAAGAACAGACTATTGGATACCTGGGAGAAGGCGAGGGTGGGATGATAGGAGAGAATAGCATTGAAACATGATTATTACCATATGTGAAACAGATGACCAGTGCAAGTTGGATGACTGAAGCAGGGCCCTCAAAGCTGGTGCTCTGGGACAACCCAGAGGGATGGGGTGTGGAGGGGGGTGGGAGGGGGTTCAGGTTGTGGGGAGTGCACGTGGTGTTGATGTCTGGTATGGGCCACCAGAGTGTTGTGAAGTGATTGTCCTCTAATTAAAATAAATAAATAAACATTTTCAAAAAGTGTGTTTATATTCATACTTTAAAACTTACAAATATAAACTCTCTATGATAAATGAATTAATGTTCCTCTAACAGTAAAAAACAGGTTTGGCAACTTGATTCAACTTGACTTAAAATTTATTGAAACAATAATATTTAATGTTTGCAAAATGCTTTCATAGTTCACTCCACCCAAGCATTCCATAAGGTAGACACCCTTTGTTTTTTGAGTGGGAAAAGAAATTCATAAACTGCACAGGCTTTGCATACATCTGGTTAGAGCTGGAGCTCATATTTGAACCCTGCTTTTCATCTTCAGTGGGCTTCCCAGAGGCTCAGCTGGTGAAGAATCTGCCTGCTATGCGGGAAACCCGGGTTCAATCCCTGGGTCAGGAAGATCCCTTGGAGAAGGAAATGGCAACCCACTCCAGTATTCTTGCCTGAAGAATTCCATGGACAGAGGAGCCTGGGGGGCTACAGTCCACGGGGTCACAAAGAGTCAGACGTGACTGAGCGATTAACAGTAACACTTTTGTCTTCAGTGCATTCCTTTCCTGTGACTCTGGTGATCCACCTCTCTTACACGGGCATCTCTCAGAGTGGTATTTCATCTGGGGTTTATAAATGGCAGTACTTGCTTTTGTGTCCGTCCTCTTGGCTAATCTTGCAGTTATGAAATATATGCCCCATGGCCCTGGACTGGAGTAGAAAGGGCCAAGAATAACCCTGTACAAGTTTATGACCACTGAATCAAGTGGTACACAAATACTCGCAGTTCCGGGCACAACGAGCTTCATAGCATCTAAGAAGGGCAACCTCGCAGAGCCAGCAAACACAGCCTTCCTGTCCTGTCTCTCCCTCAAAACACCAATAAAAGCGTAACCCTATCATCCTCATCCAGCCTCCAAAGATAACAGGAGAACTGAGTTCCCTTGGGTTGGACAGTTTGTCTCTGGGCAGAATCCCATTTCTGCAGTTCCTGCCCTGAAGTCTGACAATGGTCCCCATGACAGAGGTTACCGAAAGAGTGTCCTTCACACCCCTCTGCATGGCGACACCACCTCATTCGAGTAAAATCACACGACTGAATCATCCCCTTTACAATATTGTGTTGCTTTCTGCCATACACCAATATGAGTCAGCCATAGGGATGCGTGTTACCCCTCCCTCTAGAACCTCCCTGCCAGCTCCCATCCCATCCCATCCCCCTAGCTTGTCATAGGTCACCGGGTTTGAGCTCCCTGCCTCATACAGCAAAGTCCCACTGGTTATCTGTTTTATATACTGTAAATGTAAATGTACACAAATTGTAAATGTACATATGTTCTAATGCTATTCTCTCCATCTGACCCACCCTTTCTTTCCTCCACTGTGTCTCCAAGTCTGTCCTCTATGTCTGTGTCTGCACTGAAAATGAAAGTGAAGTCGCTCAGTCGTGTCCGACTCTCTGCGACTCCATGGACGGGCCCGCCGCACTCCTCTGTCCATGGAGTTCTCCAGGCAAGAATACTGGAGTGGGTAGCCTTTCCCTTCTCCAGGGGCTCTTCCCAACCCAGGGGTCAAACCCAGGTCTCCAGCATTGAAGTCAGATTCTTTAATGTCTAAGCCCTCCAAGTCTATCTTCATTGCTGCCCTGCAAATTGGTTCATCAGTACCATCTTTCTAGATCCCATATATATGCATTAATATGTGATACTTGTTTTTCTCTTTCTGGCTTCACTGTGTATAATTGGCTCCAGGTTCAACCAACTCATTAGAACTAACTCCAGTGTGTTACTTTACATGACTGAGTAATACTCCATTGTGTATATGTACCACAATTTCTTATCCATTCATCTGTCAAAGGACATCTAGGTTGCTTCCATGTCCTAGCTATTGTAAATAGTGCTGCAGTGAACACTGGGGTACATGTGTCTTTTTCAGTTATGGTTTCCTCAGAGTATATGCCCAGTACTGTGATTGTTGGGTTATATGGTAGTTTTATTCCTAGTTTTTTAAGGAATCTCAATACTATTCTCCATGCTATTCTCCAAAGTGGGCTGTATCAATTTACATTCCCACTAACAATGCAAGCATCCATTTTTTAATCTCTGATTTTAAAGCTGATTCATTCATTAATCCTTAAAATAAGATAATTAGAAGATATCAACAAAAATCATAGCCCTCATTTATAAAGAATTTTCATGAGTTAAGCAGTGTGTCAAATTAATCTTCACAAAACTCTTATAAACTGCTTACTCTATCTTTTACTTTAAAAATTTTCAGCTTGATTGAGGTGTTCAACATAATTGATATGTAAAATTGTATGATATTTAAGGTATACACTGTGGTGACTTTATATACATACACGTTGTGAAAGGATTCCCCAATGTGGCTAGTTAAAAATGCATGCATCTGAAACCTTCCTCTTTTTGTTTTTTGTGTAACACATATACTCTGATGGTTTTCTTTCTCACTTAGGTTGTCGTACTGCTCCGACAGATTTAGTTTTCATCTTGGACGGCTCTTACAGTGTTGGCCCAGAAAACTTTGAAATAGTGAAAAAGTGGCTTGTCAATATCACAAAGAACTTTGACATAGGACCGAAGTTTATTCAGGTTGGAGTGGTCCAGTACAGTGACTATCCTGTCCTGGAGATTCCCCTGGGGAGCCACAAATCGGGAGAGAACTTGATGGTGGCCATGGAGTCAATACATTACTTGGGAGGGAACACACGGACTGGAAAGGCCATCCAGTTTGCCCTTGATTACCTTTTCGCCAAGTCCTCACGATTTCTGACTAAGATAGCAGTGGTCCTTACGGATGGTAAATCCCAAGATGAAGTCAAGGATGCTGCCGAAGCAGCGAGAGACAGTGGGATAACGTTATTTGCCATTGGCGTTGGGTCAGAAACAGAAGAGGCAGAACTTAAAGCTATTGCCAACAAACCTTCATCTACCTACGTGTTTTATGTGGAAGACTATATTGCAATATCCAAAATAAGGGAGGTGATGAAGCAGAAACTTTGTGAAGGTAAGCCTTAATATACTGTAGAAACAAGAATGACAGTTCCTTACAGTTTTGTATGACCTGTTCGTTTATAGTGGGGGAGACAGTTATATTCAACGTCAGGTGAGTTAAGTCAGAACTGAAGTGAGCACGTATTTCTGTGTTAGAGTTATTCTGGATAAATTTTGTTTTGGGGAACAATTGCTTTCTTGTAAAATCTACAGTTGGAGGATATAACATTTTGTGATTTTTTTTTGTGTGTGTTTTCCTTTCAGATACAATGTGTTTATATTGTGGAGGTCATAGAAAGTTAAGATACATAAAGAATGAAAATATATGTAAATCATATATTATTGTATCACTCCTGTTCGCAAGATTTCTGCCTTTTTCATTCTAGTCTTTTTTGATTTCAGAGTGTTTGAGAGTTTATTCATGTGCCTAAATAAGGATGTGGTGTGTGTGTGTGTGTATGTGTACGTGTGTGTATGTGTTTATTCAGTTGTGTCTGACTCTTTGCGACCCCATGGACTGTAGCCTGCCAACCTCCTCTGTCCATGGCATTCTCCAGGCAAGAATATTGGAGTGGGTAGCCATTACCTTCTCCAGGGGATCTTTCCAATCCAAGGATCGAACCCAAGTCTCCTGCATTGCAAGTGAATTCTTTCTTGTCTGAGCCACCAGAGAAGACTGCCTAAATAAGGATAATATTGTGTAAATAATTTCATACTCTATTTTCACATTATTTATACTATATTACTATATGTATGATTTTAATATTCTATTAATATAGCATATAATCTTTTAAGATTATTTATTTAAATTTTCTCCATTTTTGTATATTTGGTTTATTCCTAACTTTTTCTAATACAAATAACTGAATATTCCTGTACCTAATTGTGAAGGAGAATTAGAGAAAACAGAAAACAAATATCAAATTCCTAACATTTTTAAAACTTTTGAAGAATCTTAAAAACTTCACTTGAGAAAAACAAACTCCCACCAGCAATGAGGAAACCTTTGAAAATATAGTGCTTGCTAGTCTATTAATTATGTTTACATCATTCCATAAAATACTGGAGTTAATTATGTTTACATCATCCCATAAAGTATGGGAAAGTTCCAGTTTTTGATAAACATTAAACCTGTTAGAGTACAGACATGCTTGTGTTCACGTTATTTGGGGGGAGAATAATTTATTCATATCATTTATTTTTAATATTATAGGCATTTAATGTGCCATCTACCTAAAATCATATTCATGCAAATGGAAATGTTTTTTCCCAGTTTACCTACAAAAAAAGCTAAAAATTGTTGGTTCACTTTTGATAGAAAAATTTCTACATGATTATGACTTAGAAAATTTTCTTTGTATTTGAGGGGACTGTGGTAGAGAAAAACACTTCAAAGTTTTGTAGATTATCTACTAATATTTTAAGAAACCACTTCAAAAAAAAGAGCATAGAAAATTAAGTATTTTCTATAATAAAACTTTTAAAAAAGTACTAATAAGTAAATACAAATGCTCTGTACAGTTATTCTTTTTATGATTCTCTAACAGTAAGACTGTGTTGACTTTTATTGTGTTGAACAGGTCAAAGGAATTTAGATTTTTAATGTGTTGTTGGATTAGTTAGAAATCTTTCACTTTGAAGTTAGGTATATTTCATTATTAAAATAAACTTTCCATGGTAAAATTATGCTTACCATTCATTTTAATCATAAAATATAAATTTGATTAAATATGTCTGTTTAGTATTTGCTTCATAGACTTTTCCTGAAGATCTGTATTTTGAAAAATGCATTCTCTGTACTTAAATTTTAAAAAATACACATGAAAGAGTAGCTGTGTGTAAAGGGGTAAAGCTTCTTTCAGCTAAAATGTGTGATCTGTAAAAAAAAAAATCAAATTTGAAATCTTGCCAAATATTTCTTCATCCACACTCAGGAAAAGAATGTAAGTAATGTCTGTGTCTATTCAGTTCACATATTCACTGTACAATAGACATCTTTTAAAATATACATTTTGAAGTTGTGCTTGTGGAAGATATGAGTTTTTTTGCACTTGACATTTCATACTGCATTACATTGTGATTAATGCACTAAATTAATGCACTGCTGTATTATAGCAGCCTCACATTATATATTTGTGTTAGATTATTTGACAAACTCACCTTTTTTTTGACAAATAGTTAACTTCTATTTTGAGGTGTTTACACATAGGGTTGTTCCCTTTTATATTCTACTGTTGTTGATCCAGGATGAGCAAAATATTATCCACATCTTTGTTCCTGCATAGATTATTTCATCTTCATGAATCTACTGTTTCCTTGAAGGTCTATTGTTCAATACATTCCTTATTTCAAGACCACCTCAAAGTGATGGAAAATGATTTATTTCTATAGCGGGGAGTATTTCTTTTCAATTTGGGCTTAGTTTGCCCTTTTTCAGTTCTTTTGACTTGTAAAGGTAGGCTGTTTGAGATCTTTATTATTTTTATTGCTATGAATGTCCTTCTCAGCACTGCTTTTGCTGCATCCCATAGGTTTTGGTATGTAGTATTTTATGGTTTGTTTGTATCAAGATATCTTCTGTCAAATAAGTCAAATCCTTATTTGACTTAAGGATTGTTCAAGAGTGTATTAATTTCCACATATTTGTGAATTTTCCAGTTTTCCTTCTGGCATATTAATGAGAAATATTAATAAAATAAAATAATAAGATTATTTTAATATCATTCAGTTGTGGTTGGAAAATATACCTGGTATGATTTCAATCTTCTTAAATTTGTTAAGACTTATTTATTTATTTATTTTAACCTAACATGCTACCTATCCTGGAGACTGTTTCATCTGTACTTGGGAAGAATGTGTATTCTGCTGCTGTGGCCATGATGGGGGTGGGCAGTGTGTTCTGTATATGCCTATTAGATTCATTTGGCCTATAGTGTTGTTCAAGTTCTTCTGTCTTGTTGACCTTCTGTCTGAATATTCTATTCATTATTAAAACTGGAACATTGAAATTTCTTATTGTTATTGGATTGCTGTCTGCCCTTTCAGTTTTGTCAATGTTTGCCTCATATATTTGGGTGCTGTAATGCTGGTTGCATATATATATTTATAATTCATATGTTTTGTTGGCAAATTAACCATTTTTTATTATATATATATAATGTCCTTTCTTGTCTCTTTTGAGAGATTTTGACTTAAAGTCCATTTTGTCACCATTATTTTCGCTTTTGGTGAAATTTTGTATGGAGTATCTTTTTTCTATCCCCTTACCCCTTTACTTTTATCCTATGTGTGTCCTTAATTCTAAAGTAAATTTCTTATAGACAGCATGAATATTACTTTTTAAAATCCATTTAGCTACTCTATGCCTTTTATTGGGGATTTTAATTAATTCACATCAGAAGTAACTACTGATAGGGAATGATTTAATATTGTCATTCATTAATTCTTTTCTGACTTTTTAAAATTCCTCTTTTCTCTCTTCCTATTTTCTTTTGTGTTTCATTGATTTTTGTACTGACATGCAAATTCCTTTTTAATTTACTTTTGTATATTTTCTATAGGTGGTTTGCTTGGGGTTACTCTGTAATACAGGCACGCCTACTCAGTCATTTCTGACTCTGCAACCCTATGGACTGTAGCACGCTAGTTTCCTCTGATATAGAAAACATCATATAGTTATATCCATCTATTTTAAGTTAATAACTTCAAAAACTCTAATCTTTGTTTTTTTCTGCCCCCTTTACACTTTTTAATGATGCCACAAATTACATCATCTTATATTGTGTATCCATTAATATATTTTCACACTTTTCTATATCAGAATTAAAAGTGATTTAAATATCACTGTTACAGTGTTCTGACTATGTCTCTGTATTTACCTTTACCATAAAATTTTATACTTTCCAGTGCTTTTGTGTTGCTGCTTAATATCCTTTCAGTTTGAAGGACCTCCTTAGTATTTCTTGTTAGGCAGGCCTAGTGGTGATGAGCTTTTTCTTAATCCAGAAAAGTATTTATTTTTCTTTCTATTTTGAATGACAGGTTTTCCAGGTAGGTTATTTTTGGTTGGCAATTTTTTTTCTTTGAACACTTTGAATATAGCATCCCATTCCTTTGTGGCCTGCAGTATTTCTACTCAGAAATCTGGTGATTGGATTATGGGGTACCCTGCAGTAGTGAGTTGCTTTTCTGTTAATGATTTCAAAGTTCTCCTTTTATCCTTGTGTTTGAAAATTTGATTATAATGTGTCTGGATGTGTATTTCTTTCAGTTCTTGAATCTGAATGTATGCTTCCTTTCCTACATTTGAGAAAATTTTGGCTATTATTTATTTAAATAAGCTCTGCTTCTTTATCTCTTCTTCTTCTGCAACTCCTATAATCTATATATTGGTCTACTAGATGGTGGGCATGAGCCATTTAGGCTTTCTTCAATTTTTGTCATTCTTTAAAATTTTCGATCCTCCACCTGGATAATTTCAAAGGATCTGTCTTCGAGTCTACTGATTCTTTCTTCTACTTGATCAAGGCTGACTTTTAACCCCCCCTAGCCAGTTTTCTGGTTCAATTATTGTGTTTTTCTGCTCCAAAGTTTCTGTTTTGTTCTCCTTTATATTCTCTGTCTCTTTGTTGGTTTTCTCATTTTGTTCATGTGTCATGTCCTTGAGCTCATAGAGCCTCTCATGATGGTTATTTTAAACTCTTTGTGAGATAATGTACTTCCCTTTCTTCAGGGTCAGTATCTGGAGAGTTATTATGTTCCTTTGATTGAGTCATATACCTCATAGTTTTGTTTGAGATTCACACATTTGAAAAAGCAATCACTTTTCCCAGTCTTTACCAAGAGGCTTTGCCCAGTGGAGGTCCCTCAGCAATTAGCCTGGCTAGAGATTTTGAAACCATTTTCGGAGGGATGTGATTTCTTTGGGACTGTGTAAACCAATTTGTTAATTAGTGAGACAGGTTTCTTTTTCAGAAACTCATAATCTGTCACTCCATTTGGCATCTTCTTGTA